TTGGTGAACCAGCATTAGCAGCATGCTTCGCGAAATAATCGGCAGTTTCATTTATTGGTATTCGGACATGGGAAGGTATCCAGACAAATGAGATTTTTGTTAATTGGGAATTTTTGATTTTATTCATTATATTGTACACAGTGAAATTGTGTGATGTGTTATTTTTAAGCAAAAGACAAGCATTTTTGCTGTCCGTAAATACAGCAGCTGTACTGACACCGTCTTCAATCATCAAATCTATTGCCTTTTCAATTGCACATAGCCCACCGGTAAGAGAAGAAAGTTTTTCATTAATTTTGAAAACGAAATTTTGATTAGAGGATATGTTGCAAACAGCGCAACCAGTATTATTGTTAAAAACGGCAGCATCAGTCGCCCAAATAGATACGCCTTCCGATCTGAAGCCGTTAATTAATTCGTAGTAGTGACCTTTAATGTACTCCATTGGTGTATTGTGTTTTTAGTGTTAAAAATGTCCAGTATGAAAACCACCTTGTTGGTCGGATTTTGATTGTAACCAATTTTGAGATTAGCAAATACTGTGCGAAACTTTGTATAAACATATCCAAGACTGTTTTTTTTCGATATATTTGAAGTGAAGTATTCGTACAAAGAGAAGTTGTATATTTTAAGTCTTATTAATTCTTTAGCCGCCAAATGTTGAGCTCTTAGATCGGTTGGTAGAGTACCAGCAAGAGCGCGTACAACATGATTTGGAGTGGAAGGTACTAGACCCAAGTTTCTCCTTAACAACTGATTTTGAAAACTTGTTAGCTTCTGGTTTATATACGTTGGCCTGTGAGCCATCGATGATATTGCATATTCGGTCTTTGAAAAAACAAGCGCTTTTGATAGGTTTATAGCTTTTGCGGGATTAATTCCACTTTTTGGACCTGTGACCATTTTTAACTCATTAACAGTATTTCTGCAGGATAACATCACCTCTTCTTAATGTTCCTTGAGTGATAGACTGTTTTTAATATGCCTTCCTAAAAATTTAATGGACTTAACAACGTTTACTTGGAGTCCATTTAATAAAATATGTGGATTTTTCCGACCTCCTTTAGCCACGTACATTACGGAAGTTTCATCAGCATTCACGTCGAGGTTAAGTTTTTTTTAGCAAGGATACCATATTATTAGTTTTTATTTGTAAAATATTGTTGGCGCTCTCGAAGTTGGGGCTTGCCACCAGCAAAATAAAATCATCCGCATATTGGAAAATGTTGATGTTTTCGTCAGCCAATCCATGAAGACCTAATGTGTATAGGTTAAATAGTGTTGGGCTTAAACAATTGCCTTGAGGAATCCCATTGTATATATTTAGTGTGGAGTTACCCATACATAGCGTCCTTTTGCAGAGAAAATTTATAATTCATGATCTAATTTGTAGCGGAATGTTTGTTTCTATTAAAATCATCTGCAGGTAATTTATATCGACACATTCATAGGCCTTCGATACATCCATCAAGAGAACAAGAACCTTGTATTTTTTTTTTCTTTTGAAGTGTTTATTGTATGTAGTATGACATTTATACATGTTGAAGTTGACACATGTTTGCGGTAAGCATATGATCTAGGTGGAAGAATATTATTTTCATCTCGAAAAGTAAAAATAAAAGCAATTGGCCGAAAATTTGTACAAATATCTAGATTTTTTCCTTTTTTCGGTATGGGAACAATTTTATTTTTTCTCCATTCTTTAAAAAACTCGCAGCTTTTCCATAAATTATTAAAAGAATTCAAAAGGTTCTGTTTACTCTCATGAGATAGTTTATTAACCATTTCATATGTGATTACATCCAAACCTGCTGCAGATGGCTTAGTTTTTTGCGCTAGAACGTTGCTTAGTTCTTGCATGGAGAATTCTGTAGACTGATTATTGTAAATGGAAACGGATATATCTTGTCTATTATTGGGAACCTGTCCACTCAGATGGCGTAAGAAGGCTTCGTTATTGTCTGTGTTCCACTTAGAGCCACATAGGGGTTCGAACACTGATTTACTGCTCTTTATGTAACGGAAAAGCGATTTTGAATTAGATAACTGGCTTAAATCTGAAAGTTTGCGACGTTTTGCGCGATTTTTGGCACATTTTACAGCTTTTTTGAAATTAGATATAGCGTTGACAGCACATAAGGCATTTTCAGTGGTTTTGTATCTGTTGAATTTCTGTTCTGCAGCATCCTATAGTAATGTCAACATTCCACCAAGTTTTGAATTTTTTTTTTCGATAGTAATCGGAAAAGTAGAATTTTTAATTGTTGACTGTAACTTAGATTGAATATCATTCATATTGGAATCAATTTTCAGATTAGATACGTTTTTGAAGAGATGTTTTGTTTTGCTAGGAAGTATTGTTCCTTTGATGAAAAATTATCTACGTTTATAAGGATGGGTTGTGATGACTCCCTCCAATGCTTGTATTTTTTACATTCCAATTAAGGTTGAAGATATATTTGTTAAGGTTAGATCTAACACGGAACCGAAGGAGTTGTCAAAAAGATTCTTTTTAAAAGTTGCTGAGCCATCATTTACACATCGGAATGCCGAACTGTCCATCAAAGTTTGCACAGTGGATCCTCGAACCGTGTCAAAAACGTCACCATATGCTTTGCATCTTGCTTTAAAATCTCCACCAATTATAACATTTGACTTTCCATTTAGAAAAATGAATAGTTTTGATATTTCAGTTTTTAAAACATTGGATTTAACAGAATGCGGAAAGTATACTGAGACAATCGTTAGATTTTGAGACAGGTTTGTAGTTTGACATATTAAGATGTCTAAGTTCGATACAAAAGGTAATTTTTTTCATTTTAATAGTTTTTTTTTTGTGCAAGATGGCAACGCCACCATAATTGTCGATTCTTTTTTTGCAGAATAATCCAAAATTGTTTACGTAAGATGATGATGCATTTTCATCTACATTAAAAATTTGTCAAGAGACCATAATTCTATAACAATTTTCACAAAAAACAAAAATCCCCATTTAAACAAAAAAATCCCCAATATTTATTAACACTTGTTTTTTATTTGTTGAGTGTATGATTATGCCTGCGAGCGACCAAAGTAAAGTAAGTTAGTGTAATTCGTTAACATTTTGTGTGTTTCAATGTTTGTGTTGTATTTTACATAGATATCGCCAACATCTTCCTCAACTAATACAACAAGCATTGACCCCTCCAAGTCATTGCACGAAGGAGGTCATCCGATTTCTTGGGGCTTATTCGGCGGAAATATTTATGTGCTCATGGTTTTAGCCGTAGAATAATCGAACGAAGACAGTTAAGCCCAAACAAATACAGCACCGCAGCGTAAGCTTGGACTAAGTTGGCAATCAAATTGATGTGTCTGTCCGTCCAGCGCCAAAAAATCCTGGAAGTCCATCGCCAAGCTAAGTATCTGGGAACCAGGTAACCATTGTGAAATTTAAAAATTGAAATGCCAAGAACCCCGAGAAGAAATCTGAAAGTACAAAAGGAGAATAATTAGTAATCAAAGAATTAAAATAAGCAAATCACCAAATAGCAAGTTAAAAAAAAAAACAAACAAAAATATATTTAATAAATTTTAAGTGTTAGATTGAGTGTGTTATGTGTTAGTATTTAGTGATTAATATATAAGATTCAAAATTGTGAGAATTTTTAACGCCTGACAAATGCGACAAGTGTAGGGTTACCCCAAATATCTTATTGGAATTAGTGTTTTTGCCTATTTTGGGACCAAATGGTAATATCCCAAATAACCAACTAAGAGAGCTCTTTTAGGTGAGGTAATAATATAATAGCGTGCCAGAAGGAGCCATTTCAATAGATTATGTGGGTAGTCTGAAACATTGACTTATCGATAGATTTAGGTGTTAGGAATTTAGAATATTGACTGGGTGCTCATGTTAGGTTTAAGTAATCAAAAACAATGATATTAATAAATATTCTTTATGTGTATATGTTTAGATTAATATGAGCTGCATTGCATTGCAGTGAGGTGAGTGTGTGTGGAATTAGGGGCCCTTTAATTAAGTGCTTATGAGGACAAAGAGGGTTAAGGTTGGGCGGGCGAAGTGCGGGAATAATTGACACCAAATTCCCTCGTTATGGTCGTATGTGTTTTGTAGTTTTTGTATTGTTGTTTTTGTTCTATTTCCGTTTTGCTTCTTGATTGTTCGACCCCTAGGGCTGATGGTGGTAGGGTTGGGAATTCACCCCTAAAGCGGTGCCCCGACTGAGCTGGTTGGAACCCCACCAGGAGCCGCAGCAGGCGGTACGCAACAAATGGCCCTTTTGGAAATACCCAACAAAGCCTTAATCATTTCATATGTAATTCTGTCCTCTCCACCCGCAGATCCTTTTTTCTCGTAGACAAAATCTTTTCAAGATGATCAAAGTCAAACATGATCCTCTCACCTACCCTATCTTCGATAGAATTTTTTTTATAGAATTTTTTCGATTTCTTTTTTTGTCCATAAAAAATTATTTGTACATTTAGTTCAAAAAATCTTTGTTTTTTTAATTTTTTTCAATAGAAAAATTTCCATATTTCTATTTAATATACATTTTTGTTTACATTGAATTTTTTAAATTATTTAATTTTTCTATCGATTTTTTTAACTACAATTTAATTTAAATTCAACTTTGACGCCGACAGTGTGTGTTTGTGTGACATCATCGAATCAGATTCGTGATTGCCGTCAAAGGCAATAGTCAAACGGCATTGGACTCTGTGAATAGATTGACAAAATAAATATCCGTCCGTGATTACTTGTTGATACAATTTTTGGAACATCCCCGCTAAATGCAGCAGTCAGCTGAAATCTAGTGGACATGTCTTTTGGTTGTGGGAGAATCATTAAAGTTGAAGATAATATATATTTTTGGGATTTCGAATGGTTTAATACTTCTGACGTCTCTTCTCCTGAAATTGTGGTACATAATGACCACGTCAAATCCGCATGGAAATTATTTCATCAATATAACCGTGATTTTGTGTTTATATCTATAATGTTGATTTCATGCAATATCCAAGACACGATTTTCTATGCTACCTTAAGTTATGATGAAGATCAAGCTAATGAGAAGATATCAACGATCGGACAAAAACATATTGCATGTTTTAAGCGTTCGTACCCGCCAGTCGATGTACGCCTTGAAGTACAATGCGAATCTGCAACGCAATTCAAATTCGAACCTAACAAACAAGCCTTAACAGACATCTCAATGGATTTTGCCAATATCTTGGCTAGCAAAGAATTCAGCGATGTGACCCTGTTCTCCCAAGATCGAGTTGAATTCAAGGTTCACAAAGTTGTATTATGCGCTCGCAGTGAAGTTTTTGCAGCCATGTTTCGCAATGACCTGCAGGAAAAGCTAACCGGCAGTATTACCATCGACGATATGGATTCGGACGTGCTCAATGAATTACTGAATTACATTTACACGGACGACGAAATACCCAAAGAAATGGCAGCAGATTTATTTGTGGCGGCCAATAAATACGACCTGTCGGCTTTGCAAGAAATGTGTGAAGATTTCTTAATCGAAGCAATGAGCGCTGACACTGTGGTTGATATTCTTCTTCTGGGCGATCGTCATGCCAGTGAACGCCTTAAATCAAAGGCTGTTCAATTTGCAATCGAAAACATTAAAACAGTCTCGCCAACGGAGAGTTGGAAAAGATTGCGTGAAATTGAATTTGAGTTATGTATGGACATATTGGAAAAGGCCATGCTGGGACGTTTATAGATCTGTACAGCAACATACCAACATGTATGTACATATATGTACAAAGGTGTTGCGGATGTGATTCATTATTATTTTTATTACAAATATATTGGTTTATAGATTTCATTACATCTTATATTCATATATGTATGTATGCAACAAAACAATTTAATAAAATGGCAGATAAGGCCCTTATCTTATAAAACCTTTAAGTTCAGTGTCGTTAATAAAAGTAAATTGTACCAAGTAGTAGTATAAAAGATCTGTCTATTTGTTGAAATTATGTGAGCTGAGAACCCTTAAGAAATAACCCTAAATAGCCCTAGCCGCTATGGCTAGGCACCCATAGAAAGTGTATAGTGTAGGCCTCCCTAGACATTTGGTAAACCTCATCTTTTATTCTGTAAATATGTAAAGGGATGGGTATTTCTGGAGTTTTTGGGATCCAATGGCCTAAAGGACTGATTTGCTGTGATGAGCACATATTTCCCAGGATCACAGGTTTTGCATTAAAGCTTCAACAATAGCATAAGCGCTTCCGCGGAGAAAATAGAACAGTTCCTATCTAACGTGAATGAAGCTTCGATGTCCAACGAAGGCATCAATAAGGCACAGCTGGTTTTGTCTGCAGTTTTTGAACCGTCAGTGAATATGGTTTTGAAATCGATAAATTTAGTATGCATGGTGTTATTGTACATATTAACAATGTCCAATGTTGCCGATCGATTCTTAAAGAACGTCCAGAAATGTTATGTTTGGGAGTAGAAGGATGGCTTGGCGTAGATAGTTATATTGAATAGGTCGACGTAATCTGATGAGATTATTTCTTGCTACTTTCTCATGGTACAGTTGGAACAATGCAGGGCGGGTTTGATACAAATCATTATATTTTTGAATATATTTATTCGTCGGATTCCTGCAATCAGCAATAATATTAATAATATAATTACTGGCCAGGAATTTCCGTGCGATGTTTGCTTTTGACGGCAACAGCTGATCTTATTCGTTTTTCGCCCACAAACAAACCGTCGGCGTCAAAATAGAATTTCATTGCGTCAGCACGCGGCCTTTTGAATTTTGCCTTTGACGGCAACAGCTGATCTTATTCGTTGTTCGCGTTGTTTATTTAAATGAAAAACAATATCTCTAATTCCAAAGTAGTTTATATTTTAAACCATATGGTAAAAATATAATTACTTCGGGGAATTGTTTTAACACCATGAGAAATTTGAGGGTTTTTGTAATGTTTACTGGGTATAAAAATAACACCAAAACTTGATGTAAATATTCCTATAAAAGAAAAAAAAAACAATTCTATTTGGTTTAAATATAAAATCAAAAAAGGCATTAGAAATTTGTTTCTCTTTAGTTTTTTACTTTAAGTTTAATTTTAACACCAAAAATGAATTAAATTTCTCTCATAGAAAATTTTTATTCCTTAAAGTTTAAAAACAACACATTGTGAGGTATCAAAAACAGCTGTTATGTTGTGTCTCTCTCTCTCTCTCTCGTGAGTTTACTTGTCTTGTTTACAAATAAAGGAAGAAAAAGAAAAGTAAGAAAGAGAGCCTTGTAATGTTCGTGAAAGTTAAAAGTGGTGGAAAATTTTACATAATTAAGATTTCTGAACCAGATCCAGTGAGGATTTCACTCCGATAGGAATACTATTTTCAAGTGAGTATTACCTACAAGCGTTTACCAATGAAATACTTTGCTAATTAATGTTATTCAATGTTAGTTGTAAACAAACTGAAGGCAGAGAATTTGTGTTGAAAGATCGCGACGGTGCCGACTTTGATTTTGAGGAGCTAGCAGGAATAATATCGCAGTACGGTTCCTGTAGTTGCTTTTTTGTAGAGTTTTGCTTTGAAGAAACAACTTCAACAATTAGCAGCATAAATTTGAAGAAGGTAAGTAGAAATCTGTTTGAGTCCTTTCCACCCATTTGTGATATGTATAACAAATATTGCAGGAATTAGAATGTTGTTAAAAAAAGGGCGGGCTAATTTTATGGAGCCGAAAAATTCAATTAAATCCAGCCCCTAGGATGATTCTATGGACAATTCTAAGCTACTTTGGTGAAGGAACCATAGGTTTATCTCGATATTCAAGTATCCTACTTTTCAAAAAACGATTTTTTCCCTATAACATCATTTTGACACATGACGTGTATCAGGATTCAGTTATTGTCCATTATAGGGCTTCAATCGAAATTCGGATATAGTCCTAATTCTTTTATAGTCCACAAATATTATGCAACTATAGTTGTGGATTATAAACGAAAAAGCGAAAATGAAAATACGAGTACAATTAGTCAAGAAGACCAGGACTTTTTCCAAAATTGTTTAGTTGATGATCTATTGGCTGTTGAAAGAAAAGCTGCAAGAAATATTAAAAGCACGCATAAAATATTGTGCAGCAGAGGTAAATGTGTTGCAGGCCCTTCCCATATTCGTGTACTATTCTTCATTGGTAATATACTTTTTAAAACTTACAAAAAGTTCCTATTTAAATCACTAACTTTAATGCCTACAGATTTTGTTCGATTTTAAGCATGGCTATGACGAATTAAAATCAAAAGAACTATTTCATAATTTGGAGAAATATAAACTAGTTGTTATTGAAATAGCAAATGAGGTCGGAGGACAAAGCTTGGAAGCCTTATCGGAATGGTCTATTGACGTCTTAACATTTGTATATTTTTTAAAGTTGTTTCCGTCGACTGCTGCTGCCGCTGGACGAGAAACAAACAGAGCTACGATCCATAAATCAGTGGACATCAGTCTTATAAATTTTGAACAAGTAATTTGAAGAAAAACATCGTTATTATTATCTAATTGGTTATCTTTTTTGTTTTAGCTAAACACACCGATTGAAGAATACCAAATTAGATCTCAGCAGCCAACAATAATAGCGAATGGAGAAAATAAATCTCCCAATATTTTATATAATATAAAACATTCCGAATAGTATAATCATATTCTCATTATGAATAAAAATAAGACTTAGTTCGGTGTATAACTTATTCCACAGGGCATTAGGAATTAATTCCTATTCAGGTATTAAATAAAATTTATTTTGGTTTTAATTTAACACCAAAAAATATTTAAGCCATAATACCTATTGTTGTTATTTTAATGCTCTAAAAATAATAATAAACAACTCTCTCTCTCTCATTCACTCTCTCTCTTTCAATCTCCTTAAAAGTATTCCATAATGGAATGGATTTAATACTTTTCTTGAATTTGTTATATATAAACGCCGGCTCGGCATTAAAATTAAATCAAAAGTTTTTACTGTGTAGCAATTCATTGACCACGTTCGAATCCATATCGTCGATGGTAATGCTACATAAAAACATACGTTTAGTTTTTTTTTTTAAATATATATTTTTTGGGAATTTATTCCTGAAGGAATATTAGAGTCAAACTTGAATTTGGTCGTCATTCTCCATTATTCATTTACAATAAAAGACGCCAACAAAAATATGCCAAGCTTAAAAGTCCTCTTATGTGTTTGCCCCATTAATTGCAATCATAATTTTAATTTTTTTAAATTTATTTTAAACCTTAGATTTCAATCTAAAACGGTTATTTGTTGTTTTTTTGTTATCAATTGCTTATACAATGAATTTCTGTCTTGACGCCGACGGTTTGTTTGTGCGCGAACATCTTGTAACATCAGCTGTTGCCGTCAAAGTCAAAAATCAAACGGCCATGAAATTCTATTCGACCAAGATCAGTTGTAGCCGTTATTTTTTATCATTTTCTTTTTGTTGTTGTTTGGTACAACAGTTTTTGGAACATCCCCGCCAAACGTGTCTGCTGAAATCCATTGAAAATGAATACTGTTGGGATTATCACTGACTTGGGATATAATAGATATTGTTGGCGTATTAATTTTCATTTATCATTTGTAGGCATTTCTCCGGCAATTGTGGTACATAATGGCGACGTCAAATCCGTATGGAAACTATTATGTTCTAATTGTTGTATATATGTAAAGTTGATTTACTGCAATATCAAAGACATTAACGTTAAAGTTACAGTAAGTGACAATATTGTAAAAGCTGGCATAGAAAACGTTACCTCTAACTTGATATCAACGAACCGAATAAATACCAAAATACCTTGGATCAAAATTGAGAAGGAGTTTTTGGACTACGCGGATCACCAGATAAATCTTAATATAAAATTTGAAAAAATTAAGGCACCCAAATGCCAACCTAAAAAACAACCGGGCATCATAAAGGGTTTTGCCAATATCTTCGCTAGCAAAGAATTCAGTGATGTTACCCTGGTCACTGAAGATAAAACTGAATTCCAGGTCCACAAAGTTGTATTATGCGCTCGCAGTAAAGTTTTTGCAGCCATGTTTCGAAATGACCTGCGAGAGAAGCTAACCGGCAGTATTACCATCGACGATATGGATTCGTACGTGCTGAAAGAATTGCTGAATTACATTTACACGGATGTAATACCCAAGGAAATGGCAGCAGATTTATTTGTGGCGGCCAATAAATATGCCCTAGACGATTTGCAAGAAATGTGTGAAGATTTCTTAATCGAAGCAATGAGTGTAGACACTGTGGCTGATATTCTTCTTCTGGGTGATCGTCATTCCAGTGAACACCTTAAATTAATGGCTGTTCAATTTGCAATCGAAAACATTGAAACAGTCGTGGCAACGGAGAGCTGGAAACGATTGCGCAAAATTGAAGTTGATTTATGTATGGACGTTTTGGAAAAGGCCATGCAGGAACGTTTGTAGTTCTGTACAGCAACATACAAACATTTATGTACATATATGCACAAAGGCGTTGCGTTCATTTGTTATGTCATATTACACGAATCACCATTGCATGTGCAACACTGCACGGTGATCATATGTGCTGCTGACGTGTCGAGATTTGATTGGTCGATGCATTTTTGCATTCGTTTTGGCATTTTTGCAAATTGGCGATCCCTAACCGGCCTGAAAATTACTATCGCTTCATTCTCGAGAGTAGCGGCCGGCGAGTTAAGACCGAATACGTAAACGAAAAGAAAAGGAGAAACAGAAAGAAAAATAAAGGAATTTTACCGGTGTTAGAGTGTTGTGTGAAAATAATAAAAAAAAACACTAATAAAGAGTGAAGAATATACATTCAAATGGATGCACTCTAAAAATAAAAAGTGTGTGTTTTCGTGAATTAATATTGAAATTGTTCAATACCTTTCTGACTGTTTGAATTAATTTGTGCAAACCCAACAACAGTGTAGAGCCGCCACCGAGGCGCTGGGACTGTACCAGTGAATTACACGTGATGGTGCACGCGCAGTTGGGTAACGGTACAGTGAGTTTTTTTTATGATACAACTAGTTTTGTTCGGGTATCAGTAAACCCACAAACATTCAATATAAAAAAAAATAGTGCCGCCAAAAATTTATTAACCCAATTCAGATTTAACCAACTCAAAATTTCATCCGCCCACCAACTTTTTTGCAAAAATCAGTGCCATCTAAATCAAATAACCCAATTCATACCGAACACTCTCATAAATCAGTACGCACCAACATTCCATAGCAAAAAAACTAGTGCCGCCAAAATTTATTCACCCAATTTAGACTTCACCAATTCGAAAATCAACCCGTCCACCAACATTCTATAAATAAAAGCTAGTGCAATCAAAATATAATAATTCCGGTTCAGACCTAAACATTTCGCAAAACAGTTCACACATCAACCTTCCATCAAAGAAATTTTGCACCACCATCAAATAAACCAGCCGTACCTCAGTTATCCCATAGCCCAGTACATACACAGCATTACATAGACAAATTCATACATCATCATCAATAGCCTGAAATTCAACCCACATCAACTGCCGTTATTAATTCAACCACCGTTAGCCCACATTTCGTCTCCTCAACATACCACCCTCAGCCGCGCAGCCTTCTGTTGTTGGATCCATTGAAATTGTAAGTAAACCCGTAGAAGACCTAACAGGAATCAAATTGACTGTAGCCCGGATATTAGATCGAGGTCCTGAATTCTGATTGGCAGCAGTGTCCTCATACCTTTACTATTAATGAATTAGTCATAATATATACAGACGTTATTATACCTCTATACATACTTTATTATTATACATTCATTACTATTCATTTATACGTACATGATTATTATTCATTTATACATACAATATTATACAATTTTATTCCATTTTTTTTTATATAATTATTGTAAAATACGTCTCGGCGATCTCCTCATTTCAAAATTAACCATATTCGGATATTTTTTTTATACAGTCGTAGCGACGAACTCCTACATCACATCGAGCTCGATAGGTAAAGGAAATTTATTTCATTCTGAATTTTAAACCATTTTAAGCCCAAATATCTGGGGAAATCACCTGAGAGTATGTTCTAAATTCAGTCCTGGTATATTTCTTTAGTTTCCTAAAGCATATTTGTAAATCATTCATTTATATTACATCATCCTAAGGTTTAAGAAAAACTTAATCTTGAATATTATTGAATCCAATTGTTATTAGATGTAACTACTTTAAGCTTATAGGGTATAACCTTTGAATAAACAATAAAAATGTTATCGAATTATGAATTGAAATGAAAGGTTTGAGCCATGAATTAATTGATAAATAAAGAAAGGTAATGTAAAGGTAATTGGGCAGCCGTAATATAAGTATGGGGGGTCCTCATGACTCAGAGGCCCATTAAGGGGGTTCAAGGTAGGAACCCATAGGGAGGGCAAAAGGGTACCCAAACTCCACCTAGGGGTACCAGCAACAACAACATGAACAACCAAATACAATCCAGCAACAACAACAATCAAAAACAATACAACAACATGTTTTAATGGTTTTCTTGTAAAATGATATAATGTTATTTTTGTATGTGCTCAAGTGTACCTCCTCGCCGCTAGAGTTTTAGCCGGAGCCATCTTAGCAAAATACCATCAACACCTTGGTAATGAATAGAGGTCAGAGGTCATACTTGTGCCAGGCATATTACAAAATGGCGCCCAACGTAAAGGCAAATTTTAGGTTTTGGATCTAATGTGTCCATACCTGAAATTTTGCAATCATTTTGTTTTTTTAATCTGATTTTGATTATGAGTCTTGAGGTGTTGTTAAATTACAACACTCAAATGCAGTAAATTAATTCAGATGATCTACATCTCCAAACTCCATCTCGTTGAGAAATATTTTAGTCGTCTTGAAAAGTAGTTTTTATGACATTTTCAATTTGTGACCAAAATATTATTATGAATTCATAACATTTTTATATTGGCAGTTGGTAATATATAGTCATTCACCGTCGATAAATTTATGATTGAGGTGTTATTAGCGATATTACCCAACGGCTTAATTAATATTATATCATTTTCGCAATTACTTTTGGAAAAAATTTCCGGTTGTTGGAATTTTGGATGTTCTTTTGTTGTTTATTTATTTTTACGGCTGACCCAAACCTTTTTACATTCGCCGATTATTGAATGAATATAGTATAACATTATAGATCTTTCGGAAAATAGTTCCTGAAGTGAGAAGACTTTAGAATAGCAATTATATATAATGTTGATGTTTTTTTTTTAATTTTTGATACTCTTTTGGAAAACTGATCTATAGAAACATTAATTCTAGTTTTGAGTTCTAGTTTGAGATTTTGTTGAATTGACTTTCGATTTTAATATGGATCCTGCAACGGGAGCATCGAAGAAAACCCGAGGTCCCATCACCCGTTCGAACAGTAAAGCCAGTGATGATGTTCCGGTTGATAATGTCCATACTTCTGATACTGATGATGAGGGTCAGGCCAC